AAGAAAGAAAGAAAGAAAGAAAGAAAGAAAAGAAAAAAAGAAAGAAAGTGGGAGAGAGAGAAGGTGGAATGAAATGACGGATTGCGATAAGGAATTGTATGTTTTACTCAGTTGATTCAGGCATCTTAATCTGTGAATGAAAGCTGAGGTACTAGAAAACTGCATTAAAAATAAAACATTGTGAAGATTAGGACAGGCAGACGAAAAGTCTGTTTTGAAACATTTAGGGCATAAAATCCACAAACTGTTATAAGACAAGAGGATTAATTTCCTGAATATTATGTCCCTCCTAGTGCAAATAAAAAAAAATAATAATAAATTTGGAAGCGATAGCCTACCACTTAAAATAGTTGTTTATTTCACCACATAAAATACATCCTCATTAAATTTGTAATCACGGAATTAAAATAAATCAGAAGATAAGATTCGTTTGTGGGTGAAAGAATTAGATATTTCTGACATGTGATTGTGTGGTAGTTCAAACCTTACGAAATATGATGATTTTGAACGCTCATTGTCAAGACATATTTTCTTAACTCACACGAGTAGTGACTGCCCGGCTACAACTAGTTTCTAAGTACACTTGCATTTCTAGGGCGGCTCTCACATCTTTATTAAAGACGACAGCTAAAACAACGTAGTCCATCTATGGTGTTTACTGCAGTGTTGAGAGAACATGTAGTTACAATTTATAGGTGTTGGGGGAAATAACGTTCGGGTGATCAATGGACAGCACGCTCAAACACTCGGTCACGATGACTTCGGACTTTTTGTTAGCAAAATCACTGACGGTTTCCGAAACGGTTGCGTCTACCCAATTTCATTTACAAGGCTTGGGTAAACCGTTGTATGGTTTTCAGGTACTTGCCAAAGGTGCCGGTCACTGGGATCACCTCCCAGGCCGATATTATAATATCATTGACAAATTAACTATGGTGAGATAAATATGGCCAGAAAGCAAACATTTCTCACCAGCCGCCCATTCGCCGATTCCTTCACAACAGTAGTATATATATATATATATATATATATATATATATATATATATATATATATATATACACACACACACATATATTGTGTGTGTGCTGGGCACCTCGAGGCGGTGTAATCTTTAATAAACTTGTCTCGCTTGTTCGATCCTCAGTGGATGCCCCCTACTTTGGCCTTGTGCCACATCTATACGGTTGGAAAATCACTCTCTCTCTCTCTCTCTATATATATATATATATATATATATATATATATATATATATATATATTTCTAACAATAAAATAATATTAAAAAATTAAAATCTTTAGACACACTGGGTTGTAGATTAATATTCTTTCGTTTTTTATTATTATTATTCCATTTAGATTCCTCGACAAGTTTCGGCCAAAATGGCCACCATCGGGAGGAGAAATATTTCTGTTGCTTGTATCACTAAACTACAGAAATGAATGTCTTGGTGGAGAAAATGAACTTTTGTCTGTAGTTTTCATTTGTTTTTTTTATTTTTTTATCTTTTTAACATGAATCTTTTAACATTCCTTGTGTTGGTCAAACAATCTCTTTTAAGTTGTTATTTGAGATAAGAGTTGGATGGATCTATGCTTCTCTGAATTCTCTGGTCAGTTTGACAGTTTTATTGGACCTGGTGAGGGGATGTGTCTCTGTTTAGTTTTTGTGTGTGTTATTTGGTTCTTAGGGAGTAAGTATATATATATATATATATATATATATATGTGTGTGTGTGTGTATTTCATTGAATATTATAGACATATTGTCAACTTATTTTTGTACTTATCCTTTCCAGTATTTTAATCAGTTGATGTTAAGATTAGATTCATCAAGGGAGACGGCGTAGTTTTTATTTTTTATTTTTAACACCAATAATTTCGACATTTTCTAAGATCATTTTCAATTTTAAATTTATTCGTTGCATTTATGGAATTCTCTTACTACAGAGACTGATAAGACAACTGGAGAGGATCAGTATAACAATAAGTAGACACAATATGTCTATATTATTCAATAAAACATGTTTAAATGAAGACATGCTGCCTAAATACAAACACACACACACACACACACACACACACACACACACACACATATATATATATATATATATATATATATATATATGAAATACGATTGACAGGTTACAGCGCTTAAGTTTTTTTGTTTAATCTTTCTTATGTTCTAATAATTTTCAATTTTTCTTGACATAAATTAAGCAAAAATTATCCAAAGGTTTTGTATGTCCTCTGATATCGAGGCAATTGTAAGGATTTTATTTTACAACAGATATTTTAAATAGAATTTAAGATGCCTTTCGTTTTACATTTTTAAATTTAATGTTGCTCATAAATATACTACAAATCTTGCAAAATACAAATCTTGCCAAAATACAAATCTGCACCACGCATATTTTCAAATGTCTCCTTTTCTAAAAGAAATACTCTTTCCCCAATTCAACGTACACAGACATCAAAAATAATGAACAATTAAAAGAAAACATTCAAATCAAAAGTCATAATATAGATTCAACGAGGTTAAGACTGCAGTGTTTTGGGAAACATCCACGCTGCAGCCTGTTCCACAAAGTAAACCGTTCTTAGAAAGACGCCCTCTCAGTGGAACACACTTCCTCCCAATGGCTTATGCAAGGAATGAGGGTATGTCTAAATTGTTTTATTTTTAAAGCTTTTCACCCCCAACAAAGGCGGGAGTTTCACCAGCACGAAAGGGGTTACAGAGAGTGGGAGCAAGAGAAGGACGAGGAATCAAGGCAACCGGAGATGTGTGTTGACATTGCATTTGAGTATTTGGAGAGTATAGCTATCAAGGAAGCAAGTAATAAGAAGAGAGTTCCACAGAGGGAAAGTGCGAGTCATGAAGCTATTAGAGTAGAAGTGACGGTTAAATTTAACCGCTTGGACAGTGAAAGGGTGGGACAGAGATGCCAACCTAGTAGCACGTTTAAATTCATGCAGTTTGGGTACCAGCGTAAGTAGCTCGTCGGAGCAGTTACCGTGAAAATATTTATAGAACAGACGGAGGGAAGCGACAGCATGTCTGTAAGAGAGCTACATATAAGATTCGCCAGCGAATGTATTGTTGTTATTAACCCAGCTTTAGGGGCCATTGTGCCTCCGGCCTTCATCAGGTGCATGCCTATCCGGGTAATATACAGGAAAGTATTTGTAGAAAAGACAGAAGCAGGGGACGGCAGGTCTGTGAGAGCGCGACTGTAAGTGAGATGTCAGATCAGGGCCACTTACATTGCATATCCGTATGGATTTTGTCGAGGACCTTAAAATGAACAGTGGGGGTCTAGACCATATATGGAAACAGTATTCCATGCAAGGGTGAATGGTTGATTTATAGATTTGAAAGATGGACTCGGGCGAGAAAAAACTTTCTGGCGCTGCAAGGAGAACCAACTTTCCTTGCGGTAGATGAAGCTATTGATTCAATGTATTTGTTCAATCTCAGATCAGCGGACATTTGTGAGACCGCAAAGAGGTGCTCTCGTGGAGTTCACCATCAGACTTTCTAATGGGAAGCAGGGAGAGTTCGCTATGATGGAGAGCAGTTTTGTTTTTGAGGCATTAAAATTACACATTAACTTCAATAATTAATATAAACACATTAACTTCAGTTAATTAATATAAATAACAATAAACTTTTGGTTATACTATGTAGAGATATCTTACTTCAGACGGACAAGCAAAACACAAAATCAGAAATTATATAGTTTTAATACGGATTTTCTTGTTTTGTGAAAGCCTGTTGTAATTTTTTTTTAAAAAAAGGAGATATACCGAGCTGGAGTTTGTTATAGCATTACTTTTGAAGTTCTAATCAGACTCACTGGCGATAAATGACGTCAGATTAATCTTTTTTCTTTTTTTTCTTTTTTTTTTTTTTTGCTCTCAGTGTGAAAATTAGTTTGTAATATTTTAAGTCGAGATATAAATGATGAATAAATTACTAATTTTTTTCTCCTTATATCGTAAACCAAAACTGGATTTTCTGCCAGGTAAGAGCAAAGGGCGAAAATTACAATTTAATTACGATTTTCATCCGAAAATCCCTTCTTAAATTTACTTTTATTTTGGAGTAACTAATTACAATTTCAATCTTTTGGAAATATGAGACGAATATTTGATTATAGCCTACATACACAAATGTCAGTGGAAGGGGTATGTATATCCATAGCACAGATGCACGCACACAGAAATAAAATAAACGTGAATAGAGAAATGACAAGTTCATGGTGATGTCAGCTTCAAGCCTGAAGCGATAATCAGATCATAAGCGGACTACTCTACCATGACAAATATATATATATATATATATATATATATATATATATATATATATATATATATATATACAGAGAGAGAGAGAGAGAGAGACAGACAGACAGACAGACAGACAGAGACAGAGAGAGACAGAGAAAGAGAGACCCCTGGTAGCTTATGAGCAACGAAAGGTGGTCAATGGAGAGAGAGCTAACATAAAAACAAAAACAAAAAATTCAAAATGATTTGCTGATCGCTTAAGCCATGATAGAGCTCTTTTGGTAGACTCTCCCGTCGTATTTAACGTATGAGGGTTAAGCAGCCGAGTTCCTTGGAACCGACTGCCAGACACTTGTACATATGATTTGGTTATAGTAATAAAGGCTTTGTGCAGAACCAACCACACATTTTGAAGAGCCGAATGCAGAGACCTGGTGCACTACATACAACAAGGTCCCCAAACGATCCTCATCAGATTTTGAATTCAGAGTTGTCCTTCTCCTAGAATAGTTGCCATCCAAGGCTATATAAACCAATCTGTCCTGCTATTTACCCATAGATTGGGGAGAAGAGGATTCACACCTTTCCCTAGGGTATTAGCACCTAAGTGAGGGTAATTGATTTGACTGGCTTCGAACACGGTTCTCCGATTCCTCAATCCGAGCCGCTATCCACTACACTATTTTACAGTGTTAATTTCTCATGTTGAAACACCGGTTCCCGTATGATCACCGAAGTTAAGCAACATCAAGCCTGGTCATTACCTAAATGAATGACCATTTGGGAATATCATGTACAGTTAACTTTCATTTGCGGGTGTTGTAATGTATAATACCGCAGAATTGTTAATCGGAGAGCCGAGTTCTAATTCCAGTTGGGTTCCTTATATACCCTTATGCGCAAATACACTTGCGAAAAGTATGAATCCACCTCTTCGCCCGTTGCTATAGGTTAATTAGTAAGACATTTATCACTAAATCAATTTGTATCGCCAAAAGAATTCTGACAATCAAGAAATATTTTCTGGCTTTAAATAATCTGCAAAGGGTTGATAAGCCGTAGAAAACGAATCAATCAAAAAACGGTGTCTATTTCTGTGTCCATACTGTCTATAGCTGCTAATTCTGTATCGCCAACCATTCCTCCATAAATATGAAAATGCCAAACTAGACACACATACACAAGTAAACACACCACACACAGACACCACACACGCAAACCCCTACACACATAAATATATAATCAAGCTCGCCTAGCTACTGACGTCATTCGCATCGTTAAAACGTTAAAAATTTCCCTGCCGCTCTGCGGGTAGAATCTCTGACTGATGCCAAATCGGTCGGGTTTCGATCCCAGCTTGAAGAAATCGGAGCTATTATGATGAGCTGTGATACAGGGAAACAGTCTTTCTGGGGATGATTATTTATGCTCTGTAAATAATTCGATTGAGTTCTCGGAGAGGAAGCAGTCATTTTATAAACAGTGGCTGCTGCTGCTAATGGAATGCTCTTCTACTCGAATCGAGTTCTCCTAGCTACTGACGTCTTTTCCATAGTAAAAAGTTTAAAATTTAACCTACGCTCAGCCGTTCGACCATAGCTTGGGGGTAGAATCTCTGACTGATGTCAAATCTATCGTGTTTCGATCCCAGCTTTAAGCAATTTGATGTCTAGCTGAGCTGCAAAATAGTCTGTCTGTGGATGATTATATATATAGGATAACGATATATAATTTTTTTTATATATCAAGAAAAATTTTTGGGAAAAGAGGTATGACGATTTAGAAAATATTTCCCTGCGAAAACCTTTATCATTTTGTGTGGACCCATTTAACACTGAGTGTCGAAAGACTGTTTCATGCTTGAACGGAATCTTAAGATTATTTTTTTATTCCTAACGGTTATCCATTATACCAGCCGCATATCTAAGCTTCTACCATCTGATAGACGCAAGCGGTCAGTCATCCCGGTACTAACTAGGATTGACGTTGCTTAAGTTCCATGATCGAACAAGGGCGATATTTTAGCGTTATAGGGCTATATCACGCTGAAACTCACAAACACACACACACACACACACACACACACACACACACACACACACACACACACACATATATATATATATATATATATATATATATATATATATATATATATATTGTGTGTGTGCATTTAGGAACCATTTTTTCATTGATGCATGTTTCATTAAATAATATAGACAAGTTTTGTCTATTTAATTTATGTAAATTCTTTTCATATCGTCTGATAAGCTTGATAACATTATCATTATACGAAGAAAGAAAATCACAATATTGATACATATTTTTTAATCCTATCTAAGCTTTCGGCTTACATAATATTTATGTTGGTCACACCGCAAACTCGCTTTCACGACGCTTGACTCTACATTTGAAAAATAACTAACATTTTTAGGCATTTAAAACATCATGCCTGGCCGCTTACACAATTCAGGAAAATCCTCGTTGAAAAGACAACTATACTTAGACATGAAAACAATAAACAAAAACTAAATATTCTTGAAGCTATATACATAAAACAGTTGAAACCTAACCTAAACAATATAAACTATGACATCTCCACAAATAGTCTTAAATGCCTATAATTAATAACAGAAGCCACTGGTTTACACCAATGGCTTCCCATAGTTAATACTTCTCGTTTTCACTCTCGCGTGGTTTTGAGCTGCGGTGCGAATTCTGCTTCCAACGGCCTGTATGCGTCGTTGCTTGGAAATCTTCTATGTAAACAAAAGCAGACTTCGTTATTGTTTTATCCGTGTATTGTTTAATATATTGTAATGTAATTGTCATCTTTGATAATGGCTTACGTAAAAAGAAAGCTTAGATAGGATAAAAAAATATGTATCAATATGGTGATTTTCTTTCGTCTCTTAAGGATAATGTTATTAAGCTTATCAGACGATATGAAAAGAATTTACATAAAATAAATAGAGAAAACTTGTCTATATTATTTAATGAAACATGCATCAACACACACACACAAACACACACACACATATATATATATATGATTTGAAATTTTTTTAACTAATGTTCATTCAATACAAGGCCTAAGAACCATTCAATGTAGAGTGTTATTGCATCGTCTTATATCATCATAAGAAAGAATCAAATAAGCGACATCATCAAGTTTTTATTCTGAGGTGACTTCTCTTCAATGCTCGCATTATGTTTTTAATTATTCATAAAATGTCTTTTTTTCTTCACTTTTTCTATCAATTGAATATTAAGGACCTTAAAATGAACAGTGAAGGAATACGAAATTCGTTCTGTTGGGAATTCGCTATGAACACCAGAGAAAGTTAAATAAAGCGAAATGCGGCTCTTTTCTGTTCCATGTGACGCAGGCACTAATCATTTTATGTTAAGTGCCTCACATCACGACCTGTGTTTCTCCCGTTAAAAATTATTTGATAATAAACGTGACAGATTTTATATTAGACAGATAAAAGCGGTTTTATAATCGCAATAAAAGTTCACCTATTGTGTTCTGTTAATAATAAACACTGACACATGCATGCACACACACGGATATTTTTTTTTTTATGCTGAACACTCCGGTGGCTTTCAAAATTTGAGGGTACAGCAATTCAATTTCGAGCTGAACAACGAGCCTCCTATCACAACTGATTTGATTAGTCGAATGAAGAATTGTGCAAACCAAAACAAAATTTCGGAAAATGGCCAGAGATAAATGGTTCAGCGTCTGCGAGTTTTCCTCTTGTGCGACTGGCTGCCAAGGAAAAAGAGCCGTGTCTACCTTGCTATTTAAACAATAGCTGGAAGAAAATAGATTTACGACCTTTTCCAAATAAACAAACAGAATCGATCTGAATTTGAACTCGGTTAAGAAATTTCCCCTTTCTGCACAGAAAACCGTTCTACTATCCGTGTACACACGCACGCACACACACACACATATACATATATATATAATTCATTGTTAGTGTGTCACACTTTTTCAATTAAAGAGACACAACTCTTAATAGCTCATCTTCTATATAATAAATGACAATGTCATTGTGTCACACTTTTTCAATTAAAGGGACACAACTCTTAATAGCTCATCTTCTATATAATAAATGACAATGTCATTGTGTCACACTTTTTCAATTAAAGGGAGATAACTCTCTTTCAGTGTTACAGAAATTTTGGATTTACCAGTTATCATTATTGCGATTGTTTAGGCCAATTTTTGCATGATTTTTGTGTCCAATTTTTTGGTACGATAACAATTTTTATAACTTGGAAATAATTTGGGAATAATCGAAATTAATTGCGAAATCCAGGGAAACACACCCATGAATAAAAATAATTGTTTTTTACGGAAAATAGGACCTAATTATCTTTAACTTTAGTGAACGCAGAAGGATTATCAATGAACTTTTAAAAGGTAACCTTACATATTAATGCAATACTTAAATGCAGCGTTTAATTTTGAGTTCTTCTGTAGTTTATTGTTGCCTGTCGCATACAGCAGCATTATGCCTCCCAAAAAGTGTTCACCAGTTATTTTCTTTGTAACAACTTGAATTAAACAATGGTAAATAAATGCTCGTTTAACAGAACAAGGTCCAACAGCCGGATGATTGCATTAGGTGTAAGCCGGATTATAATAATAATACACACACACACACACACACACACACACACACAAAATATATATATATATATATATATATATATATATATATATATATATATATAACTTTTTTTCTTTATGAAGTTTCATTAATGACCTGACTGATACACTTAAGAAACAGTGTTTAAAAAAGAAGGCCTCTACTGAAGACGAGTATCCTGTTAACAAAATGAATGCATATATATATATATATATATATATATATATATATATATATATATATATATGTTTAGAAGGTACTTCATAAAGAAAAAGATTTTAATCAATCTAATTAAAAATTAAAATTAAAATAACGCTGACATCTCGTTTTAATAGATATATTTACCAAAACCAAACAAAAATATCTTAAAATACTAAAGAGTAAATTTATACAATGAAATCGCCATTGGCTTCAAACACGGTCTCTAGACGATTTTGGAATCTCCTGCAATTCCACTGGATGGCTTCCTTGTTTAAGTTGGTGAATGCTGCCATTAATACTTGCCTTCAATTCATCATTGGTTTTGGTCTCTCACTCAACTGCGCCCCACACGTAATAATCAAGGAGGCTGCAGTCTAGGGAGATAGGTGGCCAGATGTATGTGGTCGCAGAATTTGTCTGGCAGCTATGACTGGCTTCTCCTTCTTGTGTGGCATGGCGCAGAGTCTTGTTGCCAGACATATAGTCTTCCAGCAGCCAGCCTCTTGACCCAGGGCAGTACTACCTACTCAAGACACGATGTAGGCATCGCTGTTGAGTCTGAGAACCTGTAGGATGGTGAATGGAGGCGCAGCGCGTCGCCAGAGCTAGTAATCACTCCAAACTTCATGATGTTTACTGGACATGTCATCCAATTCTTTCGGAATCACCTGCACCGTCCCCAAATTGACACCCAAACACTCTGAAATGTTCGTATTAGAGCTTCTGGTGCGAATGTTCAGCACAACAGCATGCTGTTTCCAAATTTTTCACAGATGCCCAACTGAAAATATATCAGATTCATTAAAAAATGCAGATACAGAGTGCGATGGATAAAATTGTCATCTATATTAGAAAATGATAATGACACTGACAACTCCTTTTAACAAATATATTTACCAAAATTATACAAACATATCCTGAAATAATAAAG